ATTCTAACACCTTTCACATACTCTATTAATGCTGCTTTCCATCTAATTGCAGCACATTCCATAGAAGGAGAGGTGCTCTACGACGGCCTTGGTATATTTTAGTAAACGAAAATTGACAATGCATTGGTAACCCAAAAGTGGTAAGTTATGGGTTTTGTTTAGCTTTTCTTTTTGGGCTGAAGCATATATATTTAAAAATATATTTTTAAATTTTTATTTAAGATAAAAAAAATTGTGAAGCAAAATTAAAAAAAAAATAATAATAATTTCAAAACTGCAAGCTCAGCTACATTTCATCACTCTCATTGCTTTCCTTGTCCGCATTGCTCTAAGGGTCCGTTTGGGGCAGCTTAAAAGTGTGACATTTTTGAAAACGCCGCTCCCGTGCTTCACTGAACGCGGGGCTATAGGCGCGTATCGTGTTTGGGACATACTATTTTCCTTCTCTGCTCTGCAAACTCTCGCTTGATGGTTCTTTGCTCGTTTGATCTTGCCCTAGCTACCGAGAAGAAGGTGTCCTGGTAAAAAAATTTCAAGCTCCCTCCTCCCTTTTCTCTTCTTCTTCTCTCCTCGTCTTCTTTTCTCCTCTCCCCTCTCGTCCTCCCTCGATCTATCTCCTGCGAGAATGATTTTTTCCGTCCATTGCTTTCTAATGTGATGCATATTTGCGGTTCATCATTACTGTTAGATCCATAAACCTCAACATCATACACGTATTTTTAAGCGAGAAGCAGTTGGATTACGGTTTTGTGGCTTGAGCTTTTTGAGGTTTTGCAGAGATCTTATTTTTACATATGCTCCAACAATTGATTCGATTTGCCAGAAACATTTTTACATATTTTAACATTTATTGGAAAGATGTTGTGCCTATATTTTTTACATTCGGTTTGCCCTAGCTACCGAGAAAAATGTACTTTAACAAATTTCACTTGTATGCTGCTATTGATGCGTTGGAGAAGTGGAAAGAATTGATACTTCTCTGTTTTTCATATGGTAGGTACTCCATATTTTTGGTTAGTTCGAATTTGGTGTTTTATGGTTTTTGATGTTCTTCCTTGCCTGGCTGGTTCTTCTGGCGATCCCAGAAAAGTTGAGGGTAGGATATGGGAACATGAAGATGGAACTTTTGGGTTTGGGTTCTTAAGAAATGATTTTATTATTGACCTGAAGCAAGTTGCTCTAGATGGTTTAATTCTTGATGAATTTGAGTATTTTAATCAAAATTCTGCTTCATAATTTCCTATCTACAGCTAATTCTAGATGTGCTTAGTCATTGTTTCATGCACTTTGAAATAAGAGAGAAGGTGTGGTCAATAAAAATCCTATTTTTAGAAATATTATTTTTTTGTTAGGCAATTAGTATTGATTTTTGTTTTTATTATGCTAGCATGGGATCTTTCTTTTATAACAAACCTGGACACTGCTGCTCGGAGTTCGTTGGTATCACAATTTCAGAACACCACTTCTAGTTTGAGTGCTTCCATTTCTACGGTATCCCAGTCGGACAAGTTTGCTATGGGTTCTGGAGTGTCAGAGCCGGGCAGCATGACCGTGATATACTGTTATATTTTAAAGTCAACATTAAAATTTTTTTATTTATAATTTTAACACGTTATCTTTTCTTCTTTTTTGGGTTTCATTATAGTACATATTAGTGTGTTAAAGTGTATTTCACTTTTATTTAAATAACTGTGTTTCTGTGATGTAATCTAAAATATTTAAGTGATATAAATATTTTATATTTTCATGTTTTAATATTTGAACTTTAATTTTAAGAATATTTTGTATTTTCATGTTCTTCAATATTCACATTTATCTCCCCTTTATGATTGAATTAAGAAGGTTGATAAATTTGTAAAAAAAACTGCAAATCAGCTGTTTACAAAACGCACAAACCAAATAACTAAACAACTTATACAAATCAAGCGCAGATTGGTCATTTATCCAGAATAAGCTGTTTTTCAAACGCACAAGCCAAACAGCTTATCCGGATCAGCTGGTTATCGGGATAAGATGCTTATCAGGATAAGCAGGATAAACTGCAACTGCCCGAAACAAACCCTAAATACACTGCATATCGCCTATGACTCATCCCATAACAATAAATAAAACAGAGGCCGTAGTTTTATTTCCAATTAATAATTAAATTCAACACAAAAGTGGTGCAGCGTTGAATACTAGCGAGTTAAGGCTTAAGGAGAAGGGAAAGGCCGACCTTAGAGCTCTTCTCAATGGCCTTTGTGTCCACCTCAGCAGAAAGGGTTACCAGGGATTTGGGGCTCCACAGATGTTGGATTAAAGCGCTCGCCTTCCCATAGTTGTTGAAGCGAGCTTTTACTGTAGTGAGAGGATCCAGCGCGTATTGAGTCCCAAATGTTAACGTGTTCTCGTTGGTCGAAAAACTGTGAGTTAACTCGGCCCCGACGGCGGTGCTTGTGAGTGGACTCACTAAATGGTAGTAGGAAGCGGTCAGATTATCTCCCTTGTTGGAACTGCAGGAGAAGCAGCAGATTTCCAATTAGTTTTTGTAACTGTTAGATTTATTTTGAAATGAATGTAATATTAATTTGGCGCACTTACATAAATACCACTCAATTCCTGTGAATTTATAGATCTAACACTTATAGATTTCAAAATCCATCCTTACCAAATTTATCGAAAAATTTTCAAACTTTTTTTAATGAATAACATTTAAAGACAGCAAAATCAAAAGCTAACAATAACTCACAGATTTAAGGAAGCAATAAGGTCCGCATTGGTGATGCTCAGAGCAGCATTATATTTGGTGAAGTTTCCGGTAGCGGTGTCCAGAGACACGTCAGCACCAACGGCTAGTTTATTTGAACCGATTGTTCCAGCGAAGTTCACAACAGGGTTGGCAGTCAAACCAAGACTAGCATTAATACCAGTATAATCATGCAAATACTGTAGCTCAACCTGAAGTTGATGAACAAGAATGTGAAAAGTGAACAAAAGGGCCTCGCAAATTTATTTATTAAAAAGATGAAACTTCAAGAGTTTTTTTTTTTTTTTCCGAAAAAATAACCTTGCCGGATTTCTGGTCTGGTAAAACAAAACTGATGATTGTTTTTAAATCAGGAGTGCCAAGTTCATCAATGGTAAATGTGGTTAAAACCTGCAAAAAGTAGAGCATGGAAGTCATAATCCAAACAGCCTTTTTTTTTTCACAAAGAAAATAGTAGTGAGCATTATTACATGCTTTATCACCATGATGCAAAGAATTTTTTTTTGTTGCGACAACGTGTAGCACTAAAATCTTGAATACTTAAAAAAATTAGGAAAATATACATACAACCCACTCAATTCTTATGTATTTACATATTTAACATCTAAACTTCAATCTTTACATATATGCCACCTTACTTGTACAAAAAAAAGATGCATATCACTTTTTAAAAGTTAAAATGGTGGTATTTTTAAAGTTTGCTATGGGTTCTGGAGTGTCAGAGCCGGGCAGCATGACCGTGATATACTGTTATATTTTAAAGTCAACATTAAAATTTTTTTATTTATTTTTTTTATTTATAATTTTAACATGTTATCTTTTCTTCTTTTTTGGGTATTTTTTTATTTATAATTTTAACACGTTATCTTTTCTTCTTTTTTGGGTTTCATTATAGTACATATTAGTGTGTTAAAGTGTATTTTTCATTATAATACATATTAGTGTGTTAAAGTGTATTTCACTTTTATTTAGATAACTGTGTTTCTGTGATGTAATCTAAAATATTTAAGTGATATAAATATTTTATATTTTCATGTTTTAATATTTGAACTTTAATTTTAAGAATATTTTGTATTTTCATGTTCTTCAATATTCACATTTATCTCCCCTTTATGATTGAATTAAGAAGGTTGATAAATTTGTAAAAAAAACTGCAAATCAGCTGTTTACAAAACGCACAAACCAAACATTGAATTAAGAAGATTGATAAATTTGTAAAAAAAACTGCAAATCAACTGTTTACAAAACGCACAAACCAAATAACTAAACAACTTATACAAATCAAGCGCAGATTGGTCATTTATCCAGAATAAGCTGTTTTTCAAACGCACAAGCCAAACAGCTTATCCGGATCAGCTGGTTATCGGGATAAGATGCTTATCAGGATAAGCAGGATAAACTGCAACTGCCCGAAACAAACCCTAAATACACTGCATATCGCCTATGTCTCATCACCTCCCTCTCATTATTGTACCCACAAATAGAGGGGTCAATTCAAAAATTGACATGTTATGATGACTCCAAGAATTTAAGGTCAAGATGACCCGAATAATTTTCAGGCCATATTAGAGTTGACCCTATTAACCCAAAATCCACACCAAATTGACCCACTAATCATAAACTGACTTGAATTTAGTCCGAATAGCTACTATGTCATATGTTATAACGGTTGAGTTCGGGTCAACATGTTGAAGGCGGTCAGATTCAAGTTAGTTGCATCAACCTGTTTAATATTTGAGTTATGCTAGGATCAATCATCATTTGGCTGGGTCAATTTCATGTTAAACTTGAAACCAACTAAAAACCTAGATTAAACACACCTACATCCAAGCCCACATCAACTTAAACTCCTTGCCTCCCATCGCTTGTTTGTCTAGAAACCTAATCATTTCACATACATCTCTTCGCTCGCATCATCTTCCTTGTCATCATCCCTTAACCAACATCCATCTAAACCCCTCGCCCCATAACACCCCCTAGCACGCATTAGTCCGCACCCCCTTGCCAGCTTGCACAACAATAAAAACAATAATAAACATCATTGAAAAAGAGAGAATTTAAATAAATAATAAATTAATAAAGTCAATTGTTTCTTTCAATATAGAAGATATTTTCCTCAAACATCCATGTCCAATATACACATTGTTTATGTCATAAAAATGTTATAATCAACCACCTTAACATCAAAGTACGTGTCAACTATTATACTTTTAAATTATAATGTGCAGATGCATCACAAAAATCTGTCCACATGTCATAATAAAACCATCAAAACCAGCACCTGATTAAAGCTTAAAACACATTCAGTAAAAACAACAAAATATCAATGATAAAAATAATAACAATAAATAAAACAGAGGCCGTAGTTTTATTTCCAATTAATAATTAAATTCAACACAAAAGTGGTGCAGCGTTGAATACTAGCAAGTTAAGGCTTAAGGAGAAGGGAAAGGCCGACCTTAGAGCTCTTCTCAATGGCCTTTGTGTCCACCTCAGCAGAAAGGGTTACCAGGGATTTGGGGCTCCACAGATGTTGGATTAAAGCGCTCGCCTTCCCATAGTTGTTGAAGCGAGCTTTTACTGTAGTGAGAGGATCCAGCGCGTATTGAGTCCCAAATGTTAACGTGTTCTCGTTGGTCGAAAAACTGTGAGTTAACTCGGCCCCGACAGCGGTGCTCGTGAGTGGACTCACTAGATGGTAGTAGGAAGCGGTCAGATTATCTCCCTTGTTGGAACTGCAGGAGAAGCAGCAGATTTCCAATTAGTTTTTGTAACTGTTAGATTTATTTTGAAATGAATGTAATATTAATTTGGCGCACTTACATAAATACCACTCAATTCCTGTGAATTTATATATCTAACACTTATAGATTTCAAAATCCATCCTTACCAAATTTATCGAAAAATTTTCAAACTTTTTTTAATGAATAACATTTAAAGACAGCAAAATCAAAAGCTAACAATAACTCACAGATTTAAGGAAGCAATAAGGTCCGCATTGGTGATGCTCAGAGCAGCATTATATTTGGTGAAGTTTCCGGTAGCGGTGTCCAGAGACACGTCAGCACCAACGGCTAGTTTATTTGAACCGATTGTTCCAGCGAAGTTCACAACAGGGTTGGCAGTCAAACCAAGACTAGCATTAATACCAGTATAATCATGCAAATACTGTAGCTCAACCTGAAGTTGATGAAAATAAATGTGAAAAGTGAACAAAAGGGCCTCACAAATTTATTTATTAAAGAGATGAAACTTCAAGAGTTTTTTTAACCTTGCCGGATTTCTGGTCTGGTAAAACAAAACTGATGATTGTTTTTAAATCAGGAGTCCCAAGTTCATCAATGGTAAACGTGGTTAAAACCTGCAAAAAGTAGAGCATGGAGGTCATAATCCAAACATCCTTTTTTTTTCACGAAGAAAATAGTAGCGAGCATTATTATATGCTTTAATACCATGATGCAAAAAAAATCTTTTTTTTTGGGACAAAGTGTAGCACTAAAATTTTGAATACTTAAGAAAAACTAGGAAAATATACATACAAACCACTCAATTCTTATGTATTTACATATTTAACATCTAAACTTCAATCTTTACATATATGCCACCTTACTTGTACAAAAAAAAGATGCATATCACTTTTTAAAAGTTAAAATGGTGGTATTTTTAGATGTGATATGAAAGATTTTGTTGGTATGAATGTAAAAAAGTGAAGTTTAGGTATTAGAAGACATAAATACATAAGAAATGGGGGGAATGTATATAAATGTGCCCCAAAAAACTAACATTCATCTACCTCTGTTTATAATAACATATGTTAAATCTTAAAAAGCGCAACAAAAACTCCACTGGTTGGCTGCAGCTTGCAAACATGAATGTGTTAGTTTAAATTTTTTGGGTAAAAAATGTTGGACAGAAGAGAATATTAATTTTTTATGTGAAATGTGCAAATAGTTCGTCATGTAAACATTCTCGATTGAAATGAAAAAAAATATAATTTAATGAATAAAGTCATACATTGGATTCTGAGTTGGCTTTCAAATCGACAGTGACATTCTTGCTCTTCAGCCTAGACTGTAACTCGCCCAAGATGTAATCATTTCTCTTTGTCCCTGTAGCTGTGATGGCCTAGAACAAAAAATAAAAGTATTAAAAATTTAATAAAAAAGAAGGCTAAATAAACAATAATATGAGTTTTATTTGATTAATCTTGCATTGCATTTTCATATTAAAATAAATTTGATGATTATAAAAATTATTACAATATTTTCAATGTCAAAGTTTGACCCCTCCGGGATCAATTCTAAACCCCAGTTTTCATTTAACAAAACCACAATTGTTTAGTTTATAATGGAGAGTAAATATTAATAGCTGGATAATAAGGATAACAAGCTAAAAAGAAAAAGAACCTACAAAAAAAAATCTAGTAAAACCATGACTTAAAATAATTAAAAGTCACTTTGCAAAAAAACTTTCATTATGCATCACCCAACTCTAAAAAATAAATTAGGCATTTACATACACAGCACACAATTCATATGTATTTACATATCCCACACCTATACTTTCATGTTTATGCACATATCACTCATATCTTTAATATCACAACAAAAATAGCACTATAAAAAATTCTTAGAAAGTTAAATCCACCTTTTGATGTATAAGTTTAAAGCATTGAAGCGCTACGTAGGTAAATATGAAACATTAGGTGTGAAACATGTCACCAAATAAAAATTGTGTGCTACATATGCAAATTTTCCAAAACTAAATATTCACTTCTCAAAAGAAATTTTTCATTACGAAGCGTTCAACTCACTCTCTTCCCCTCATGTACTTCCTCGCTTCCCCTTACAAGTAAATAAAGCCAGCCCAGCCTTTTCACTACTAGTATTCTAGATTGAATAATACAAATTGGTAACTTGATTAGAAGAGAGGCTTTATGGATCTGAGAAGAAGACAATGCAAGAGTTGCACCTTAAGAGCAGAATAAAATATGGAAGTTCGAAGCAGCTTCAACTCATGTGGATGAGATGGTATCAGAAGACATTTTGAAAATTTTAAAAAAGCAAAAAATAATAATTTTGATTGTTTTAAATGTTAAATCATTTTTTTTCCTTAAAAAAAAACTTAAACAAATATATATCATTTCGTGTCTAGCATGCTTTTAAAATAAAAATCAAATCCATAACACTGATGCATAACTAAAATTCATTTCATTACATTAGACATTTTTCAAATTAAATTTAAGATTATTTTAACTCAAACTTATAGTCAAACTAAATATCTTAATAAGACAAATCTAATAATACTAATAGTCCGATTCAAGTCCAAATGAACTGATATCAAATACTTTAACATGTGATTAGAAACTTTAGAATATTGATTAAAAGATAGTAGGATACCTGAATTTTGCATGCTAATAGTCAAATTAAACTTCTTGACCCAAAAAAAAAAAAAAAAATAAAAAAATAAAAAAAAAAACGAGATCAAGATTGTTCAATTATGACAGCATTAAGTCACTTAAATGTTAAATGAATGGTTAATGATTGAAAGAATCAACATAGATAGCCTAGTAGAGTTTCTTAGCACTTTGGCTAAAATAACCTAAATGTTAATCTCAAAAATTATAAATAGAACCACATTTTTCATAAGGTGGGAGAGCTAGACATAAAATTAGAAAAAAAAATAATAATAATAATAACTTAAAAATTTAAAGAGCCATAGCTCTTTGTTGGACAACCACAGCCAATGCTTGCTATCATTTGATTGCAATCACCCAACCGATGTCCCTCATTTAAAAATCTCAAAAGTCCAAAGCTTCAGAAGACACATATATTTCAAAACATTTTGAATTAAAAAAAAAATCAAAAGATAGATATTCTCTAAAAACCTCAAAAAAAACTTCAAAAATTTTAGAAGACAAAAAGCTTGACAAATACATGTAATCTAGAAATCTAATATAGTACATATTCTTCAAAAACCTCACAAAGCAAATGTCTCAAAATGTAAAAATTCTCGAAAAATCCTAGAAGGTGAAAACTAAAAAAATGCATGTCATCTAAAAATCTTAGAAGATAAGAACATTAAAAGGTATAAATTATCAAAAAATATTAAAAAATAAAGCATTGGAAAAAATATGTCTAAATACCTCAGAAAATAAAGCTATGACAGATAAATTCTTATTTGCTCATCTAAATCATAACAGGCATAAATTTCAAAAAGTTTGAGTTTCTTTGCTTCTCTCAAAAGACATGTTAGTTTTACCATTCTTTTAGTAAACTTTTTCATACATCTCAAATTCACAATGCCATCACCCACTTTACTGAAATAGCAATTCTAGGCATTGTTTTGCTGCACTTCAAAACCTTATAGAAGTGTTATGGTGGTTTTCAAAAAAATGCACTTTTGGGGTGGAATTGTTCAATTTTACTTCAAGTAAGAGTCTCTGCAAAAAGAAATATATTAGGAAGCAATCTTTTGTATGTAATGGTCCCCTTCTAACATCATACCTCTTCTAGCAACTATAACTAATTAGGTCTTTTCCCAAAAATTCTATCTCCTTACACTACTTCTGTGAAGGTTTATTCCCTAAACATGAAAAAAACAAGCTATAGGATTGACTCATGCAGCAATAAAAGGATCATGTTTTCCTCTGCCTGATCCAAAAATGAGTATGAAGAGATTTTGCTTTATACTTGAAGAGGCCAGAGAATAATAAACCTAGTGTAAGAGCCTTGATTAATCACAAGTATTGGTTCACAATTTCTCCATATTGTATTTCTCTTCCTTTAGATTGAGCAGGAAAAATGCTAAAACATAAGACAAATTTTTTTAATTGTTTTCCCCAATGCAATGCCGCAATACTAAAATAGCAATTCTAAGATAGAAAAAAATTGCAAACAGATACGGCTATAGGAAATAAGCAATCAAATTCCCAAAATGTCATCATTGCAAATTATGATATCACAATACCATCGCAGATTTCTCATTTAGAATTCAATAAAAACCTCAAAATAATATAAAAGGATTTGTTCTTTCAACAAAATTGACATCATCTTTCCCACATGAATGTTTGCTGGAAAAATAGCTAATAATTACTACTTTAGAGCTACATTACTAGCAAAAATTAATAAAAAGAGCCATCATTTCAACTGCATCTTAATGCAATTATCAGTAATTATCTACGAAGCATGAAACTTAAATGCAGATAAAAAATATCAATCTTCATCAGTTCATCCAATAGAATAAATTGATATGCAAAACAATTTATTCCGATGCCAAGAAATTTCCCAATATTTAAGCAGATTTAACATCTATCAAGCCAGACGGTTTTCAGGAATTAAAACTAAGCATATTTACAGAATTTATTAAATCCTATTTGATTTAAACCCTAATGGTACCCAAACAACCCCTCACTCTCATTACTATTTAAGAGACAAGGTAATCTGTCAACAATAACAGCATTAATTTCACCATAAATCACGGGAAGAACAACTAAGAGTCACTAAAACGATCAAAACAGCTCGATCGAAGGGAATATTTAACAGAAAAGAAGAATAAACTAAACGTAAACAATAAATGAACCCATCGATTAAGAAAACTCACAACTCCATTTGCAGTGTAGGTCGTGACTGTGAACTTCTGGTCCGTCAGGAAATCCTTGTACAGAAGATCTAGCACGAGCAGAAGCAATCAAATCAAACATAATAAAATCAATTAGAATATAAATAGCCATCGTTAGAAAAGAGAGAGATGGAGATGGAGAGTTGAAAAATTACGATTACCTCTAGCTTTCTTGCCGATGTCCGCGTAGAGACCAGGACCCATCTTCCACTGAATAAGAACTGGAAACCTTTAGAAACGCACAGATGGAAGGAAGCCGGTGAGCGGTGCAGCTGAGAAGAAAATACAAACAGACAACGGGAGATAGACATATATATATACAAGTGGCCTTCCCAGCCAGCCGAGGGGCTGCCAGCGAAAACCCTAAATTCTCTCCATCCCTTATTATTTTTTTTTTTTTCTCGTAAAATGGAGGATTGTGGTTGTGGTATTATTCTCTCTCTCTCTTTTTTTCTCTCTCTCTCTCTCTCTCATTTTTTTTTCTTTGAAAGGTGAATTGGTATTTGGTGGTCAGCGGGCACCAAATATCGATCCCCAAGAAGGGTTGAAAATTCTGATGTACTTGCTTAAAACTTATGCTAGAGACCGCATCAATTAGTTAGGTCATTCGCACAAATATATATATATATATATATATAAAGTTAGGTCATTCACACAAATATATATATATATATATATATCAGATATCATAAAAGATGCAAAAAATTCAATTTCTTAGTCACTTCTTCACAAAGAAATCTTATGTGCATAGTATACTTTAAAATAAAAAAGGAATCACATGATTAAAATTTATTTTATTTTACTGATTCTTAATTAAAATCCATCTATAATATGTCCAAATTAATTATATAAAAAAATACACCTAACAAACATATGCTTATAATATGTAAAACTTATATAAATATTCAATTTATTAGTTCCAAAATGAAAATAATGCTGAAAATTCTCTTTTAAATAAGCAAAATTTTATTTTCAGCCATCCTTTGAGTGGGTTTTAAATTACAAAATTGCTCCTCACAAATTTCATGTATTTTGATATTTATTTATATAATCTCAATCATAGTACAATATAGTATTTAAATATTATCTAAATAAAATATAATATATAAATATCAGGTATGCAAATACATTAAATATTTGTTCCATGTATGTAATTTTTCCTCACATCCCTAAAATGAAAATTTTACAGATGAATCTTTAGCTCACATTCTCATTGTGTTTTAATTCTCACAAATAATCAGTATGTAGAGCAATTTGGCGCTATTTCACCTATCTCAAATAGGGCTGTCAAAAAAGCTCGTTGTTCGCAAACAACTCATGTTCTACTCATTAAGTAGCTCGTGTTCGGCTCGTTCGTTAAGTAAACGAGCAGAACATAAAAAAAAATTTTAAAGCCCAAATTATAAATGAGCCGAACACGACCATCTCTTTGTTCGCTCGTGTTCGGCTCTTTTTAACTCGAAATAATATATATATATTTATATTTAATTTTAAATCATAACCTCCCGTGTGGTAACATGATTTATGTTTTCTTTTGCATACATTTGGTACAGGTTAAAATCCAATACTTTATATATATTTTTTCCAATTTAATTTTAAGTAGCCAATTTCGAATACAAGCTAATTTGGAGCACGAACAGTTTCGAATGAGCCGAACACGAGCCAAGCCTGAGCTCGCTCAAGCTCGGGTCATTTACAGCCCAAATCTCAAATATTGAAAACAAAACAATTTTTTTATGAGAATATGCAGACAATATTTTGCAGACAACGAACAAAATATAACATCCATGTAAAATACATAATGTGGTGAAGTGCAGGTAATTAGAAATACAGAATTAAAGGTAACATTTATTTTAAACATTACACAGATGGGAGAGAAAGATGTTCGGATGGGCAGAAATGTAAAAATCAGAAAATAAAAACCACACTGTCATGAACTCTTGATTTCTGATTCTGCGCCACACATTCCGATATCCACATCAAGTTCCGTATCTCCTGCTCCCTCAGTCTAATATATGCAAAGAATACTGCGTAGTGGAACTGCACAAATAAATATGTTTAGCATCATGTTCCCCAAAATTCGGTGTTTTAACATTAAAACCTCATATATTTATACAACTAAATATCTCTATTTACGAATAATACTCCCAAAATTCAATTTTTAAATATATGTCATCTTTAGTTATGCAAGAAGATGTGTATTTCATATTTTAGAAGTTAATAAGCTTGATGCAAACCTCATGCTACATCAAATAGAATCTCATTTGAGAAGAGAGATTAATAGTTCCAAGTAGGTCAAGTAGAAAAGGATGCAACTTTGTTCAGCATTTGAAGTAGGAAAATAAAAAACTATAGAAAATTCTATTATATTTAAGGGGCATTCACATACATACCACCGAATTCCTAGGTATTTACTTTTCTAAAACCTAAACTTTTCTTTTTATATTTATACCACCCAAATTTTTCATATCATGTCAAAAAGACCACCATTCTAACTTTCAAAAACTGAAATACATCTTTTCATACATAGGGAAGGTAGCATGTATGTAAAAATTGAAGTTTAGCTGTTATATATGTAAATACATAAGAATGTAGTAGTATGTATGTAAATCTTAAGTCTTTTTTAGGTCTACCACTACTTTTCTTAACATATATTGAATCTAATACATCTACTCTCCTAACCGGATCATCAAATGATCGATGTTTAATGCGACCAAATCATCTAAGGACTTTCTCTAATCTTGTCTGCAATTGGAGCTACAACAACCCTTTCACGGATATATTCGTTTCGCATATTTTCAAAAATAAAACAGAAAATAAAAATAAAAGCATAAAACAAAAAGTGAAGTCAAACGGGCACTAAATGTTCGATAGTTATACCTGCTGCTCAAATGCCAGGCAAAGCCTTTTCACTTCCTCCTCGTAAAAAGCCTTGTCTAACATCTGGCTTTCACCATAAGATAGTTTGGAGAATATCGACTGATACGGCGGGTATTTCTCCAACACACCACGAACCTGCAACCCATCAAAATGAAGTTTCTAAGCAGCTGCATAAAAAGAACAATGGTAGCAACGCAATAAATAGAACTTCTGGCTAGAGAAGTTATAGCTTAAAGTAACTAAATTCATTAGGGGCATTTACGAACATGCCACCCAATTCATATATATTGTACATATCTAACACCTAAACTTTACCTTTTTACATTTATGCCACCCAATTCCTTCATATCACATCAAAGGTACCACGACTTATGTTGATGAAGGATATCATATCCTATTGTTCATCAAATGTCTGGATCTTGATGTTATAGGATATGTCATCCAATTCATATATATTGTACATATCTAACACCTAAACTTTACTTTTTTACATTTATGCCACCCAATTCCTTCATATCACATCAAAGGTACCACCATTTCAATTTTTAAAAAGTGAAATACACCATTTCATGCATAAGAAAGGAAGCATGTATTTGAAAGTTTGAAGTTTAGGTGTTAAATATGAAAATACATAGCAAAAGAGTGGTATGTACGTAAGTCTTCCAATACATTGCATAATATCATGCAAGATAGATGATAGAAAATAAAAGAAAAAAGTGAACTTTTTTGCTTGAGCAAAATGATAAGAACAGAAAGAAAGCATGGCATGCTACAACAATGCGAACTTTATATGGATACCACACAACTCTTATCCATTTACATATTTTGTTTGATATTTACATTTATAGCCCTGATGCAATAAATCTATGCATGAAAATGTGTATTTCACTTTTAAAGAGGTAATAATGGTGTATTTTTATGTGATGTTAAAGATTTGAGTTGTATGCATGTAAATATGAATGCTTGGGTGCTAGATATGTTAATACATAAGAATTGTGTGGTATGTATTTAAATGTCCCTAGAAAAATTAGTAAGAATGATGATATTTATTCGAATAAATCAAGCTAGAACGCCGGTGCCACTTAACCTATACAAAAACTCTTGCTGCTGCTTTGGACGGCAAATCGGCCAAAAAAGAAGGAAAATTAATATTGCAAATAGCCCCTAACTAGATTAACAATGCCCAAGCAAGTCCTAACTATATCAACAAAAACCAATAACTAGGTTTCATCTACATCATTCTTGGTTGCTGGTCAAAAACCAGTTAGACTAAAAGAAGATTTACACACATACCACCTTACCTATGCATCAAAAAGTGCATTTCACCTTAAAAGTTAAAATGATGGCATTTTTAATGTGAAATAAATGATTTGGGCGGTATAAATGTAAAAAGTAAAAGTAAAAATTAGATGTTAGATATGTAAATACATAGGAATCGGGTGTTATGTATGTAAATATCCCTAATATAAACCATTTAATTTAGAAAAAGTTTATTGATGGAAAGTAACCATCAAATCCAATTCCAAACACTAATGTATAGTACGCAATAAAAAACAAAACCAACATACTGAAAATTAATGTTTGTCAACCTATTCATATAGCTAACACATTTTAATAGATCTAATTAAAAAAAAAACATTTTTCAGCATAGAATTTTCTAAAAAGCCGCAAGCTACAAGAAAATAAAAATATCAAATTTGTTTAGAAAGAATTGCTATGAAAAAGCAGCTCAAAACAGAACCTAAATAAAGGATACATAACTCAATATCATCATCAAGTTAATGTAAATAATAAAAAAAATTGCATCTAAGAAAATAAATCCTATGAAAATTCAGTATAACACTCAATGAAAGACCTCACCTGATCAAAATCCTCACAAACAGCAAGTTCTTCATGTCCATACGGATATCTAGCATGCATAAGGTGCACATTAGTTCAAGAATAATGGAATAATATATATATGGGGCATTTAAATACATACCACTCAGTTCTTATATATTTACATATTTAAGACCTAACTTTGACAATTACATGCATACCACTCAAATCTTTAACAGCACATAAAAAATACCACTATTACAAACAATTTGAAAGTGAAATACACCTTTTCATGCACAGATTTATGATACCAAACTGTTATAAATGTAAATATAAAAGTTTAGGTGTTATCATATGAAAATACATAAGAATTGTGTGGTATGTATGTCTGTATGTATGTATACACACACAAACATGTGCCACACAAATTTAACAAAGTGACCAAAGTTAAAGAGAAGCTCACAATAAGCCAAAATTAGAATATAGCTTCCTCCGATCATCCCGAGTCAGCTCAGTGCCAATACTGCATTTATTTAACAGCTAATTGAACGATAATTGAACTAACATTTTGATCAATCAGTCCATAAAAATATAAAGGAAAATATCAAATAGAAGTCCTCTTGATAGGCCAAATAAGAGGGAGTAGATGCCTAGCCACTGAAAAAGGTTATTTCAAAGGGCTTGCTTTATCTTGAAGATCTTACCTATTTATAGTGATATTTACAGCTCTTCTGTCTGCTTCAAAAGACAGGAGATCACACATTATTTCAGAAGTTGCACCTCCAAGTTTCTAGGAAAAATATATAAAAAGACAAGGTGTGGATAAAAAAAAAGATTAAGATAGTTGATAATAGAAAAAAATCGGGACATTTACATAAATACCACACAATTCTTATACATATACATATCTAAAAACTATATTTTTAATATTTACATATATAACAATCAAATCTTAAAACATCACATCAAAAACACCTCCAGCACTAATTTTTTAAGAGTGAAATATACCTTTTCATGCATAGATTTTTAGCACGAGGTGCTATCAATGTTAATATCAAATTTTAGGAGTTAGATATGTAAATGCATAAGAATTATGCGGTATGTATGTAAATATCAAACTTTAGGTGCTATCAAAGTAAAAAAATTCTTCTATCAACCTTGCAGAATTGATAAAAGTCCTCTAGATATGCCTTGTAAAGAGTGTTCCTCATGATTTCAATATTCATATCATCCAAATCCTGCATAAGGATATGACATGAAGCACCAGAATGGGAATATTACAATAGTAAAAATTTCAACTATAAGAATGAAAAAATATTAACTGAATTAACAAAACAGAACCTTGAAATGGGACACATTTTGCTTGCTATTTAATGCAGCGGAAATAAAAATCTTTAGATGATGTTAACATGAACATCCAAAAAAGACTGGTCAAAGTCGATGATGAATACATTGTATGGCAGAACACCAATTCTCTTCATAACAGTACAAATTTCAAGTGGAAGAAGAATACATACCCTCAAGCAAATACTTAATTTGCTTGGCAAGGCACTTTAAAATTCAGAAAACAACTAGAGAAACAGAAATGTCAGAGAAGTATTACCTCTGATGTGATGCACTCAGAAAAGTATGGAGCCAATGGTGTGTCAACAAGAACCAATCTATAGAGCTCTCGCATGTTTTGGGCAACCGCAAGGGTGGCAATGCTGTGCATAACAACAATTCACACATTTACTTCACAAACTAAGGGTATGTTTAGGGTAGTTGCAGCTTATTAAAAAATAACTGTGAAGCTGCTGAAGAATAATCTAATGCTCAAAAAGTTGTGGTAGCTATTACAATTTTTTTTAATTAAGTCAAACCGTAGTTAGAAAGCTGTCACCACACCTAGCCAAGACTTGTGGGAAACCACAGATTTCAATGACAGCTTTTTAAAAAAACTGTCAAAATGTAGTTTCACCAAATAGACAAAACTACGGTGTGGCCATCGCATAATTAAGCATAGCCCGCAAAACAAAAGGAAGATTTACATATATACCACTCAATCCTTATTTATTTACATATCTAGCAACTAAACTTCAGTTTTTACATACATGCGACCTTCCATATGCATGAAAAGGTGTATTTCACCCTTTAAGGGTTAAAATGGTGGTATTTTTTATGTGATATGAAAGATTTGGGTGGTATAAATGTAAAAATTTAAGTTAAGGTGTTGGATACATAAAAAACATTATAATTGGGTGGTATGTATGTAATGTCCCCAACAAAGAGACAGCAATGCGGTTCAATAGGTTACCTCTCAAACATGCCCAAAGGATGGCATTTCTCTAATAATTCATGCACATCTCTCTCATGCAATGTACCAGTGACAATAAGCACAACATTATCAATCATGTGGCCATATCTGCAGAGTTAATGACTAGTTTCAATCAACCATTTTCCAGAACTGTGAAGGAGCATAAATAAAGTTAGAAAAAAAGATATTCTTCCCAGGTATATGAATACCTACGTTATGTACTCCAAGAAGGTTGACAATGGTTCTGTGGCTTGGCACAACATGTGCTTATACTCATCCACCAATTTAAGAGTGCACTTCTCCACAATTGTGGTTGTATGTAGGGGAGAAGGTTCTGCAAGGATCAGATTTCACGTACATCTGATAAGTAAAATATGCCACCAAGGGCCCTCTGTAATTTTCTAAATTCAACTCCAGGAACAAAGGAAACAAGAAGTAAACAAAAGAGCATCCGAACCCAAGAATAATACAATTAAAGCACGCCCATATAATGCAAATGGCAACATCAAATCCAAATTTACCGCCAGAAAAAGTATGGATGTTGAAACAAGAAGTCTGAATTCCAAACAAGCGATTCTTAAAAGCTTAAATAGGTTTGATTCAATGACAACGAAGAATAAACAATATCTAAGCGACTGATAGGGATTGGCATCGAGACAGAATCCGCGCTCACCGTTCTGAAGGTACGGACCGTACTCAGTAGCGGAGAGGTGCATCTTGATGTCTTCTAGGGTTTCGCACTGGCAGAGATTATTGTAGTCGGCGGCAGTGAGGAGACCAGATCTGTAACCGCGCACGATGGCCTCGAGGTATCCTCCATGGATATTGAACGTCATGGCTTCGAATCCGTACATCGTTGCAGAAGGATTCGAGCACAGAGTGGTGAAGGAGAGGAGCCGGATTCTCTATAAGGGGATTTTGGTTAATTCGAAGATAAAGAGTCGTGTGCGGTCGTGAGGGAGACTTGTGCGATTCGAGAGAAAGGGATAAGGAAAATTTTATGAA